GCCCCGGCTCCCCACCCTGCCTCTCCTGCCGAGGTTCAGCTGCAGCTCCCCGGAAACGTAACCCCCCGCTCTGCTCCTGTTTTGCAGACTACATGAAAGAGTCCGTGTGCAGCTCTAGCACTTGTTCGCTGAACAGCAGTGAAAACCCATACGCCACCATTAAAGATCCACCCATTTTAACATGCAAACACTCTGAGAGCAGCTACGTGGAGATGAAATCACCTGGCCACAGGGAGTCCCCATATTCCGAAATGCCAACTTCATCGACAGCCAATAAAAACATCTACGAAGTCGGTAAGCGGCACAGGGCCGAGTGCTGCCTCGCCACAGCCGAAAGGCGCTCAGCACCGAGCTGTTTATTCGCACGTTGGCATTTGTAGTTGCCTTTCCAATTCACATTCGTATTTAGACGCTGCTTTTTCCCTTGCTGGCGCCGGTAAGGGCTTGGCAGGGCGGAGGGAGGGGGGAGAAGGCCTGCCCATTACTGCGCAGCTTTTGGTAGCTGGGTCCCGGGGCAGAGGCCGGGCTGCTCCCCGCGCCCGCGCGCCGGGCTGCGCGCGGTGCACAAGCTCTCCCGAGCCGAGGGGCGCAGCACCCTGCTCGCGCTCTCGTTTACAGCTGCTGCAAAGTGCAGCTGCAGGATTTCAAAGAAGCAAAAGCCTTGGTCTTTTCAAGACATCCTTTGCTGGGCTTTGGGGACTGCTTGCCCTTGGATCTGTTTGGTCTTAATCGCCCTGGTCTGTCACGCATGCTGCTCCATACGATGTTGTAAACCTGTGCAGGAGGCAAAGGGTTTGCAAAGGCGGCGTTGTGCATTTGTGCCAAAATGCACGAGCAGAGTAATGACAATTTTGGGATCCCTGCTAGTTACTCTGACCTACTTCTCCTTGCTTTCGCAGAGCCCACCGTCAGCGTGGTCCAAGACGCCCGTGTCCGGAGTGCCAGTTACCTCCAAAATCCATACGACCTACCTAGGAACAGTCACATTCCTAGTCACTACGACCTCCTCCCCGTCCGGCACAGCCCGACGCACGGGCCATCTTGGGACAAGCAGTCTTAAAAGGGATAAACTTCTCCGGCTCGCTGCGCTGCAGCTATCACCTTCAAGGAAGCAGAAGAGAAGACAATCCTTTTCTGTGCTGCAGCACGCTGACGCGACGTGGACCTGTCTTACATGTGGACCTGACGTAGCAGGACCTCAGCTTGGGCCAACTGCTGCTGCATGATGTTATTTAAAAAGACGTTTTTTATATGGGTCGCAGGAACTAACGGGAACCTCCTGCACGGGTGGCTGGAGCACGTCACCTGAGCAAGGCGGTTACAGGCTCCAGTCAAAAACTATCCGCTGCGTGTTCCTACCCTGGCTTTGCTGTAAAATAAAACACAAAAACTTGCTAAGTAGAAGCACTTAGATGGACATATCTACCTACCGCATCAAGAAACCTTTTGCTGTTAGGAACAAGATGACTAGGATTATGCTGGAATATATTTTACATCTTTGTCATGGAAATGGACATTTTTCTGAAAGCAAGCAGGGAAGCTTGCACTGTCATTCAGCTGCATTGTCTGGAAACCTCCCGCACTGCCGTCGCCATGAGCATCCTGTACAGACCATGCTTGGTGATTAGCTCTGATATGTTCCTGTTTCTGTTAAGTACCTGGGTATTTGAGTAGAGAAGTTTTACAATGTAACATCTTCACAGGCATCCAGAGATCTTTAAAGTTTGCCAATGATTGAGTTTAACCAATGAGTCTTATGCCCAGCTTACTGCATTTTTTTTAACAATCTATAAAATACTTCGATTGGTATAGATATGCTTTAGTTTTCCTTATACAGCTTCTACTTTATCAGAGAAATGCAGCAGATCTGTCAGGGGGTGTAAACTGACCCAGCTGCATTTACTTCCCTGGAACCACGCAGGTGCACACAGACTAACGCTGGTTTATTTTCCTCCGTATCGCTACACCACCAGGTCGTCTCTAAACCAGCCGTACAGACCTCGTCGTCATGATTGGGCTAACAGCACAGACCTGTCAGGACGCACCCTTTAATCTTGTCTGCATTACCATGTAGTGCAACTTTACCCATTGAGGATTCTACCCGAAATGTCATTAAATTCAGCTGAAACTGGGTTTGCTTTTTCAGCAGCTGTTTGTGGAATAGTTATCAAGAGGTTGGCCAATGGTAAAGCTTTGGACTAAGCCACCGTGATTATTTTTTGTAACCTTTATTGACCTAGACAGTAGAACACTTGCTGTTAAGCAGTTCCTTGTAGATTTTGAGCATGAAGTAGTATTGACTCTAAATATGTAATTTTATTAGGCAAACGTGGGAGTAGCAAGTTGATTGCTTTTTAAATATATATATATATATAT